TTCTCCATACAACAGGAGACGCCTGATCACTTTCACATTGAATGACTTTCAAATGATTAGCATCTGTGCCATTGAATAAAGGAGAAGACGAAAGGTACCATGATAGAGGGAGCTTGAACACCACCTCCGCCATACAGGCCTGTCCGCCAGACTAATGTATTTAAAATACATTATAATTTCCAAAGGCCTATCCCTATCGAGCCAAACGCTAGGCTAGACAACCATCCAGCCAGCCATCCACCCAATCAGCCAGCCAGCCATCCACCCAATCAGCCAGCCAGCCATCCACCCAATCAGCCATCCACCCATCCACCCAATCAGCCCACCCAACCATCAGCCCACCCCAGCCAGCCAGCCACCCACCCCAACCATCCAGCCAGCGAGCTAAACAAGCAGTCAGCCTGCTAGGCAAACAAGCTAACTACCTGTCTGGCTGCCTGTCAGGTGGGGCGCCTACATGATTGCCTTCCAGAGCCGCCTCTGCCCGTCACCTCACCAACACCCCCACATTTAACAACTATTAATAGCCTTCCATCCGCCGCCGGTGTGACCTGGTGTACGCCTTACCGGCTCTCTCTCTCTCTCTACCTTTCTTTCACTCTCTCTCTCTCTCTCTCTCTACCTTTCACTTATTCATTACCATGTAAAAACTTCAGCAGCAGACTGTCCATTCCCTCCCTCCAGAGAAGTGGAAAACAAAAATAATGTATTTTCAAATCTGTGACAGTACAGTTAATGGGGGAGTCGTGTCTGTGATCTCCCACACTGGACGATACGCGGGTGATAGTGGTGATGCCTGTCTTCCCCACCGGTGTTGGGGTGGCTGCCTGTCTTCCCCACCGGTGTTGGGGTGGCTGCCTGTCTTCCCACCGGTGTTGGGGTGGCTGCCCCCCCCCTTCCCACCGGTGTTGGGGGGTGGCTGTCCCCCCCCCCTTTCCCACCGGTGTTGGGGTGGCTGCCCCCCCTTTCCCACCGGTGTTGGGGTGGCTGCCCCCCCCCCCTTTCCCACCGGTGTTGGGGTGGCTGCCCCCCCCCTTCCCACCGGTGTTGGGGTGGCTGCCTGTCTTCCCGCCGGTGTTGGGGTGGCTGCCCCCCTTCCCACCGGTGTTGGGGTGGCTGCCCCCCCTTCCCACCGGTGTTGGGGTGGCTGCCTTCTCCCCCCCCCCCCCACACACACAAACACCACAGACAAATGCTCCGAGGCTGGAGACAGGACTGTAATTGAGCTGTCAAAGTGTCCGTGAAGCCCCACACAGTACAAGTGGCGGTATATTTGCCAGCATACAAGGCCTACCCTCACTAGCGTATAACTTGGTCCTGCGTGTTACAGCCCCGCCTCATCCTCCACTACAATGTTCAAAACATTCACAAACACCCATTATAAAGACTACATGGACGGGGAATAATAAGATACCAAAATATAGTTTACATAGGTTTATTGCAAATTAGTCAAACGATGTAGTTAGGGGTATTATTAGGGGGGAAATAGGGTATTACAGAGGAACTAAGCATATGGTCAAGTTGGTATTCACCTAGTTGAATTCGGCTAGTTGTGTTTGCGGGGTTTGAGCTCTGCTCTTTCGGCCCGCCTCTCGACTGTCAATCAATCTACTTTTATTAATATTTTTCTTTGTCTTAATTTAGAACTTGTACTCGAGGTCGATCTCGAACCCATTGTTGATGTGACGACTTGTATTGAATTTTGTAACTAGCTCATCAAGATTGTAACTTGCTTAGCTAAATGAATTGTGGGGTTCAGTCCCTGAGCCCATTATGTGCCTCTGTAACCCTTTCCACTACCGCCCACAAGATTGGTATGGGGTGCATAATAAATGAACTAAACTAACTACTGTCTTCCAACCCCTCCCCTCAGGAAGCAGCCCGTAACAGCTGTCTAACTCCCAGGTACCTATTTACTGCTATGTAATGGGGTCATCAGGGGTGAAAGAAACTCTGCCCATTTGTTTCCGTCGGCGCCGGGAATCAAACCCCGTTCCACAGGACTACGTATCCAGCGTGCTGTCCACTCAACCACCAGCGCCAGTCATTTAGTGACAGGAAGTCTTGTACTGCTACTCTCCGCCGGAGTTATGAGTGAAAAGGCTTCTTGACTTCCTCCAAGACGAGACGGTGGACGCTCTGGTTACCTTCGCTCAGATCAACATGTCCAGTGTTCCATAAGCAGATGAATGCTCTGGTGAATGTTAGAGCAGGTGGTGGTTAAGGGAGCGGAGGGCTGGTGGGTGGGCGGGCTGGTGACCGGGCGGGCAGGCTGGTGGGCGGGCTATTGACCGGGCGGGCAGGTGGGCGGGCTATTGACCGGGCGGGCAGGTGGGCGGGCTATTGACCGGGCGGGCAGGTGGGCGGGCTATTGACCGGGCGGGCAGGCTAGTGACCAGGCGGGCTGTTGACCGGGCTAGTGACCGGGTGGGCAGGCTGGTGACCGGGCGGGCTGTTGACCGGGCTAGTGACCGGGCGGGCGGGCAGGCTAGTGACCAGGCGGGCTGTTGACCGGGCTAGTGACCGGGCGGGCGGGCGGGCGGCGTGGCTGCGTGTCGCTGCTACAAGAGTGATGAGGGTGTGTGAGGGCGGCCAGGAGGAGACCTCTCCGCTGCTCTGCGAGTCTGGCCGGGACAACCACCGTTCATACATGTTCAAGAAGGTCAGGCCAGGTCACTGGTATCTCAAGATGGGGCCAACACGGGTGTCTTGGCCCCCTGTGTTCGCTACATGCCACAGTCTCCACCACCACTACCCAACCTTTTACCTTTACTCTTACGAAACTTGTGCATCTCAACTTCTTCGAGCTTCTTTGTGTGTATTTAAGATGGGGCTCCAAGATGGGGCGGCATACTCTTAAGACTGCCCTCACATAGGTGGTATACAGTGATCTAAAAGCCTCCATATTCAAGTTTCTGAAGGGTGTTCTGACTTTTGCCAGCGTTGAGTATGCGACTGACGTTATTGTATTTATATGAGCCTCTGGAGTTAGGTTCGGTGTTATGACCACTCCCAGATCCTTTCCTCTAGTCGTTATAGGGAGATAGTTTCCCTTCATCATGTATCGGCCTTTCCGTCTCCTGATCCCATTTCCATCACCTTACACTGTGTGTGTGTGTGTGTGTGTGTGTGTGTGTGTGTGTGTGTGTGTGTGTGTGTGTGTGTGTGTGTGTGTGTACTCACCTAGTTGTGTTTGTGCTCTGGCTCTTTGGTCCCGCCTCTCAACCGTCAATCAACAGGTGTACAGATTCCTGAGCCTATCGGGTCAGTGTGTGTGTGTGTGTGTGTGTGTGTGTGTGTGTGTGTGTGTGTGTGTGTGTTAACCCTGGCTACCTGTATAGAGGCACAGAACCTTGATCGGGACATTACCTGGAAAGGACCTGGGGAGTTAAAATACTCCCCAAGCCTAGTCCGGGGCCAGGTTCGACTTGTGATAACTTGGTCCAACAGGCTGTTGCTTGCAGCTGCCCGCAGGCCTACATATCAACTGCAGCCCGGTTAGTCTGACTGTCGTTCCTTGTACGAGCTTTCTATGGGCTACAGAAAATAATATGGTGTTTAACGAACATAATTCCAGCTCATGCGCTACGGAAAAAATGAAAAAATAAAAACGGAAACCCTGTACAAAACTCAATCAAATCATAACAGAACGAAAAGTCAAAGTAAAGGATTTGGGTGTACCCATGTCGGAAGACCTTACATTTAAAGAACACAATAAAGTAGCTGTCACAACTGCAAGAAAAACGACAGGTTGGATAACGAGAACCTTTCACACCAGAGATGCTATACCGATGATACTTTTCAAGACGCGTTCTAGAGTGGAGTACTGCTGCACAATGACAGTCCCTTTCAAAGCAGGGGAAATTGCTGACCTGGAGTGTGTGCAGAGATCCTTTACTGCTAGAATCCACTCAGTAAATAATCTAAAGTATTGGGACCGACTAAAAAGCCTAAATATGTATTCTCTTGAGCGTAGGCGGAAGAGATACATAATACACATGGAAAATAGTAGAGGGGCTGGTCCCAAACCTGCACACAGAAATAACATCACATGAGACCAGAAAACATGGCAGGATGTGCAGAATACCCCCGTTGAAAATCAGAGGTGCAACAGGTACTCTGAGAGAGAACTTTATCAACATCAGAGGCCCAAGACTGTTCAACACGCTTCCACTACACATAAGGGACATTACTGGCCGACCCCTCACAGTGTTCAAGAGAACTGAATAAACGCCTCCAAAAGGATACCTGATCAACCAGGCTGTGATTCATACATCAGGCTGCGAGCAGCCGCGCCCAACAGCCTGGTTGGGACCGGGCCGTGGGGACTCTAAGCCCCGAAACCAACACACGGTAACCACAGGGTAACCAGGTTCCTCTCACCTGGCTGTTGCTTGTGGTTCCCCCTCCCACCTTAGTGTGATGTTTGTGGTTGGTCTCCCACCTGGTACTGGAGGTGGTGGTGGTGGTGGCCGTGCTCCTAGTAATGCTATGTGGGAATCGATGCCTCGCGCCTACTTCTGTAGCTCTCCTTTAAATCTGACTTTAGGGAAATGTACGTGTGTACATGACTGGGGTCCTCTGTTACTGTGTGTAAATGGCTGGGGCCCTCTGTTACTGTGTGTACACGGTCTGGCCTCCCTTACCTTACGGTTACCTTGCGTTGATATCGGAGATCAACGTCCTCACGGCCCGGTCTCTGACCTGACCTGGTTGGTGGTCTGATCAACCAGGCTGTTGGACGCGGCTGGCCTGACGTACGAATCACAGCAAGGTTGATCAGGTATCATTTGGAGGCGTTTATCCAGTTCTCTGTTGAACACCGTGAGGGGTCGGCCAGTTATGTCCCTTATGTATAGTGGAAGCGTGTTGAACAGTCTCGGGCCTCTGATGTTGATACACTTCTCTCTCTGAGTACCTGTTGCACCTCTGCTTTTCAACGGGGGTATTCTGCACATCCTGCCATGCCTCCTGGTCTCGTGTCCTGTTATATGTGCGCGGATTTGGGACCAGCCTCTCAAGTACCTACGAACCTGTACGTCTGTTCTCAATCTTTGGTTATTAAGAGATTTCTATAGACATTAAGGGTCGTTGACTTTAAGACCCGCCCTCAAAATGTAAGGGCACAACTCGGCCCGTTCTCTTGATTCGCCACTCCGTTAAAATGCAACTGTTTTGGCTGGCCAGAAACGTAGGAACCCAAGCAACCCACCAAACCTGCCGAGGCCGATGCATAGAAAACGTAAATACTGATTTCTACTAATACGTCATACTTTTTAATTTTATTGTTTCCATACAAAATATGCGACGTAATATGTGGGAGGACAAGTTGTTGGCTGCTTCTGTCTTTCATGTACAACCGCGGGACCACCTCAAGGCAATCTCGGCATATATTAGTAGTGCAATGATGATGATTTCTCAGTATTACTTAACTGTTGTGTTGTAACTTGTGCAGCAGCCGCCGCCGCCGCCACCACTAACGCCGACGTGGTTAAGCATTAGGGTTGACTATAGGATGTGGTGAAGGGTGACTGGTGGTGTTGCAGGAAGCGTGGAGGGGGCGGCGTGGGATGACGCGTCCAGTGTCACACTCTTGGTGCAATAGTCTCTGTGTTGAGTCACAAGGCCCCGGACGTCCTGTCCTACTTCACCTACATCAGCCGCCTCCTCCTAACTCGCCGCAACATTTCTTCATTTCCTCAGTAGCCGACCTCTCGCGGGGCTGAAATGAGAACTTGATGAACCCCTTCAAAGGATACCTGATCAACCAGGCTGTGAGTCACAAGTCGGAGTGAGAGCAGCGGAGTCTGGTCAACCGTGCCGCAGGAACATTAGTGGGGAACCAGCATGAGGTGGACACACAGTACACGGGAGCATTGGATAACCATATTCATTTGATTATTTTCCCAGTGGATGAGGTCAGTGGGTACACGCACACCTTCAAGAGAGTACGTGCTCCTCTGGTTTCCGTGCAGGTATGGTTTACCTTGTGTAAGGTGTACGGGCTCCTCACTCCACTGGAGTGGAGTGAGAACATAGCCAAAACATGAGCTATTTCCGATTTTCGTTGCGAAGCTTTCTGTGGGACTTGAGCCCGCGCCCCAGCGGCGGGTGTCACAGCTGCTGGACCAACCTGTGAGCAGTGTGGCCTCGACTCCTCCTATAGAGGGGACTCATTATGCTCATATTTATCAGTTTTATTTTTTTTGGTGGGTGATAATTTAGTTTTGTTTTGAATGTTAGTTTAGTGGGGAGGTGTGTGACTGTAAGACTGCCCTTGCTGCCCCCTACCCACTGTATCACTCACTCTCCCCAACACATGTTGTGGTGGTGGTTAGGAGGGTGGGGGGGGGGAGTACACCACATTATACAAAAAGTAATAATTGTTGGCGAGGACAAAAATGCGAAGCTTTAATTATGATGTAGTGGCGGCGGGGTTGATTACTGGGCCGTGATGAACACAGGTGGCCGCAGGTGCGCTCCGCTGGGAACCGTGTCACCATTGTCCTCAAGAACTCATCAGTTCTATTCAGTTGATAATAATTATGCCAGTGACGTCATCCACCAGTCTAACGAGGGAAACTAATGAGTGTAAAAACCTGGGAGGACAGGAAGGCCCTTACAAACTCCGTGACTGGATCTCCTGAGGTTATCTTGAGATGATTTCGGGGCTTAGCGTCCCCGCGGCCCGGTCCTCGACCAGGAAACATTTGTTTCCGCCTCCCGAACCCGGGACCTTAGGACTGTGAATCCCGAGCGGCCCGCCCCTCAGCCGTCAGGACCCCCAAATGGACAGGCCAATGTGTGTTAGAACTCTGCACCAATAAGCGTAAGGTAATGAAGACTCAAGGCTAGAGGAAATGACACCATAAGGACAAGACTAACAAAAGACTTGTGGACATAATGGGACACCAAGACCAGACACACACACAAGTATGGCAACACTGGCAGTATTGCGGCAAGAAGGCAAATATCACAAGTGTTTAACAACACTAATAACGACTCTTTTTAAAGATTTGTTCATCCTATATAAGGCTAATACTGAAATGTGCAACACTGACATGGCATCTGCCCCACCTGAACATTTTTTATTTTAGTGCTGAATTCAGAAGATTAAGCTACGCGGACAGGTTTAAGGATACTCAAACTCTGAACCATTGATGGCAGAAGAAACATGGGGGGGGGGATGATATGATCACTACATGCAAGATAATTAAAGGGATGGACATGATAAGAACATAAGAACAAAGGCAACTGCAGAAGGCCTATTGGCCCATACGAGGCAGCTCTTATCTATAACCACCCAATCCCACTCATATACATGTCCAACCCATGCTTGAAACAATCGAGGGACCCCACCTCCACAATATTACGCGGCAATTGGTTCCACAAATCAACAACCCTGTTGTTGGGCACGAACAGCCTATAAATTGAGAAAAACTAGGACGAGAGGCCACAAGTGGAATCTGGAAACACAAACGAGTATAAGAAATGTAAAGATATACTCGTGACCTCAAGAAGTTGTGGAAGCCACCTCCATCCACAACTTAAGACACACTATAAAAAACTTTGAACGTCAGAATGGTTAAATTGTAACACAACGGGAACATCAAGGCCAGTAGTCGGGCAAGAGAAGCTAGCCCTTGCCGGTCTATAGACAATGATAGGTAAATACAACGAGGTATCAACCAGATAAGCACCAGCCTCCTCTCCTCTCCTGCCTGTCCACCAGCCTCCTCTCCTCTCCTGCCTGTCCACCAGCCTCCTCTCCTCTCCTGCCTGTCCACCAGCCTCCTCTCTCCCGCCAGCCTCAGATAAAGTACGTAAATTATATACATAATAAATGCATGAAAGATGCTGAAGGCCAGATTCCAAATTGACACTGTAAAATAACAACATACTGAAGTGAACGATATGGCAGGAAATGCAGAATAGCACCAGTAAAGAGTAGAGGTGCCATAGGCACAGTTAAAGCACTGTATGAACATCAGAGTCCATCACTAAGTATCCGCCCACCAGCACAAGAAATGATGCCAGGTCAGAAAGTGGAGGTGCTAACACAAATTAGACACAGCCTACTGTGACAGCCTACTGGACCAAGCTATCGCAAGCCAAGCCAGGCTTCCCCCAGACGGGCTTGGAGATGAGAACTCCAGCTACAGAACCCACTCCTGGTATGCTGAGGGATAGGAGGGGTTGGTGGTGGGGGATATTGAGGACCTCTGCAGTCGTTGGCACACTTGTGTCAACACATCTCACTATTTTTTAAAATTTTCTGAACCAGAATGGGTTCATTTAGGGTGGGTGCCTTGTGTGGGGAGCAGACAGTGGGACGCCTCGCTTCCTGTGCCTCCCTCACACCTCTTGGTTATTACTGACATGTTACTTAAAGCCTATTTGGTCTCGTACTGAACACCCGCTGACCCTCTTGTGTCAACTAAATGGCGCGCTTCTATTGTTTTGTGGAAACATGAGTTTTGTGCTCTTGCGTCCCTTCCCTCCTCCACAGGAGCGCTGTTTTCCTCCCCCATCTCTACCGGAGTGGATTCTGGGAGTCGTACTCTCCTGGGCCGTCCAGGGGCCAGGCTTGTGATAACTTGATCCAACAGATCAAGTTGTAGCAGCCCGCACACCCACGTATCCACTACAACCGGTTAGTCTCCCACTTTGTGTAGAAACGTGTCAACAATTTTTTTTGTAGTTAACTTGTGCTCCGGCAATATATCTTACGCTTGCTGGGAGGGTATTGGGTAATGGCAGACCTCTGATGTTCATACCGTTTTGATTGTGCCTATGGCACCTCTTCTTCTCACTGCCTCTATTCTGCATTTCCTGCCATATCGTTTGCTTCACTATGCTGCTATTTAACTGTGTAAATTTAGAACTTTGACTTCTTGAATCTTCCATATATTGTGAGAGACGTTAGTGCGAATTGTCTAATATTTTACCAGTACACACAGAGATCACACTAACGTGATGCATCAAATGAACAAATCCACAAGGGCAAAACCCTGTCGTAGCTCAGTCGATTAACGCAGTGTCTGGGATGCTCCCGGACGCAGGTTCGAATCCTCGTCACGGCCCTTGTGGATTTGTTCATTTTGCCAGTGCTTCGCTCCCTCCCTTGTATAGAAAATCAATATCTGCCTATTTAATTCCTACTGATAGGAATTATGTGTAACCAAGTTTTATCAAAAAGACACTGTAGGCTCCTGCTATTGGCACTTTATATCTTTAAAAACGAGTCAGGACCCTATGCTGAGTGTATGGTATGTTGTTAATTTCTCTTTCGAAATCTGCAGTGATGATGTTGATACCAGTTATATTGTCAACGGTTTAGATATCGTTAATCAAGAAACTATCCGCATCTTCAAGTCTTTATATTATTTATTTAGGTGATAGACATAGCCTCATACTAATACTTTAAATTTCCCAAATTTCCTTGACGTCCTGTGTACGACTCTTCTCTTGTAAGTATAGGTCCAATACTGGTAGAGGTTTATATTTAAATTTTACATATGCGAAAAAAATATTTTTGAGTTTCTGTTTGTCTTGTATTGCATTTATTGAGCGTTGTCTGATGGGTTGAGGTTCCGCCGTGTCTTCCACCTGTAGTGTTAGGTGACCGTGTGTGTGTGTGTGTGTGTTGGGCTGGTCGGGGTCTGCCTCAGCATGCCCGTTATTATTGTCCTCCTGTACTGTCTTGTGTCTTCTCTTCCTCAGCTGCTCCACTTTACCACCTTCTGCAAAGAAATATGTTTGAAGCTGATTTTGTCTGCTTCTCCAGTCTGTTGTACTCTTTGCGTGACAGTTCTGATAAGTAAGACAGTTCCCCATTGAATGTTTGCAAATTCCACGTATATCTTTTCTCACACTCCTCATATTGTTAACATTAAATGTAATAAATAGCCTTTCTCGCTTGTTAATCGTCTTGGACATATTACGACTATTGATGTTCGTATTTCAGTGAGCTTGTGGTCAGTGTTGTGTTGAGAGATGGTAATGTACCAGAATATTTCTTCATTGTTTGTGAACATCAGTTTCGGTCCTAATTGGCTCTTGTTATCCGCTGGTTGAGCGAAAATGTGTCACGTAATCTCAGTAGCTTCCTGGCCTGTGCGTTGGCTAGTTTCAGGACGAATTTCTGCTATTGTTTTGATATTCTCTATCTTAATTAAACTGGGCAGATTGAGGTTTTAAAGGTAATATTCGGCACCTGCTCTTCTAGATTATATAGGCATCTTGCTGCTATGTTCATCTGCTCTGTGAGTTCTTTAACTGTTGCAACTGGGGCATTGTATATTAGAATAACTAGGTTTATTGTCTGTACTTTGATTCCAAGGGCCTCTACCACCTTGTTTATAGAGTTTAGGTGCATATATCACCTTCCCTCCTCCACAGGTGCGCTACACGCCACCTTCCCCACATGTCTGTGACTGAGGACACCGTTGACAACAGTGACGCGGCGTGTAAACTGTTGCCAACTGCTCTTGGCGCTGGAGGCCATGTTTCCTCTCACAAGTGAACCATCGTCAGCTCAGCCCTTGTTACCATTACGTCAGTTTAAAGTAATATCCTAATATTTTAATTTGTTTCTCTTAAATTGAGTGAAATACTTGTTTACATCCCGCCCTTTCCCCTCCCTCCCCTCCTCTCGTGGAGTGCAGTATACTGCCTTAAAGGTATGGCTGGAGGGTTACGCCACAACTGATTTCCGGATGGTTGCTTTCGTTGACTTTTATTAAAGGAACGTTTACGTGTTTCCTGGTTGGGGAGTGACGTCACCTTCCTCCTCCTCCTCCCTCCGTCCCTGCAGGTTGGTGACGTCTCCAGCACTCCCTGGGGGAGATACTCGCACTTGAGACCGCGTGTGTCCCTAGAGTATTGGAGCACCACCTAAGGTGTCCATCTTTTACACTTAAGAAGCTCCCTTCACAACTTCACGCACGCTCCACCTTCACCGTGTAAACCTTTA